ATATATATATATATATATATATATATATATATATATATATATATATATATATATATATATATATATATATATGTGTATGTGCGCGCGCGCGCGATAAGAGATCATTTGGTTGCCCGTAGGCTCGAAGAATTGTCTGCTTTGTCCTTTCAGAATATGTGAGTTTCAAAAGGAGCTCACAAGAGCTGCGCTCTCTCCTGTGACTATTAATCACAAGGTCGGAGGTTTGAATCATCATTCTAATGCCAATTTGATAAGAGATTATTTGGGCGATGGACGTACCCACATGGTTTTGTGCTCCAAAAGACGTTTCTGAGAGTAAGAGAAACCTGACGAATTTATGAGTCATTGGTTCACATACTCCTCAACCAACGTGAAACCAAGTGACTTTATCAATATTAGATAAACAGATATACATTAAAAAAGATAATATTATATGATCATGATTGAAAGTGTGGGTTTTAACCCATAACCTAATATCATACTGGCTCAAACTCATCGGTACAATATTTTTGATATGATATCAAAGCCATGATTAATAAAAATTTAATCTTGAGTCAAAATATGATTTTATTGAATAAAAATAAGAAGCATGCATCAATGAATCACCCAGCTAGAAAATATACAAATTAAGTTTGAAGCCTCAGAAATAAGAAAAAAAATAATCAATCCATATGAATAAAAAAAGATATTAAAAATATTTATGTATATGAGATAAAAAAAATATTAACTAAAAGGATGGTTTCATATAGCTAAAGATTTTAAGAGTTAAGTTACACAAAATTACATTTGCTCACTAGCTGACACACTTTATAAATTAGCATTTACTATGCATTATTTGTTGAAAATCATAATGATATAATAGATAAAAAAAAATAAAAAAGCAAAAAGACACTTACAGTTAAAATTTTTGTTTCATTATTATATTCTTGTTCTATTAACCCTTTTTTTTTATACTTATGTAATATCCTACTCCTTATATAATAAAGAAGCAAAAAGATTGAAGTAGGATATTATTTTTTAGTTATTTTATTGTTATCAATGAGAGTGCATAGAAAAATAGATAATCTTAAAAATAAACATGCTAATTTATTAAACCAATGACAGGATTTCCTTTGTATATAATGATCTTGACATATGAACATAATTGTAACCTTTAACTAAAATTAAAATAAAATCATACAATATGTTTAAAAGTTATACATATATAAATGCTAACAGTAGCATAAACTTGTATGTTATTATTTTTCGGCCCAATCGCTTAGGCAAGGTACTGGTATTTTTACTTATATAAAATAGTCTGAGTAATTACTCGGTAAGTATAAACTCTTATAGTTTTATTTAGATGTTCATACATCATGTTATATTATAATATTTTAAAATCATCGGTAAAAGATATTTAACGGTAAATATGTTATCCTATAACTCTACAATATATCATACAAAATGTTATGATAAAAAATTCTATGTCAAAATTTTATATCAAAATAATACAAAATACTTATATGCAAAACATAATAAATTCATAAACATGTACTCTCGTACCATACATCATCATAATACATATGTGTATTCCTACACCGTACGTCATATCACTAAGTCAAAATAAATAATATATATTATTTATACTTTTATTGATAATGATAGTTGTAATTTTGATGTATATGAGATTGGGGTATTATAATTTAATTTCAAATTTAATTTTAATTAAAAATACTTTTAATTCTACTATAATTTTTAAATTAATATGTATTTAATTATAAAGTTTAATTTAAAAAAAATCATTATTATTCTCAAATAAAAAAGAGGAAGGTGGGGTCCAACGTCCATTGGCCCCACCTGAGTCGGCCCGGGGCGCACGATTGAGGTTGTCCCCCTGGAAATTGACCATCCGACGAGACGTCTCTCGAGCGCAATTGACCATCCAAGTTGTTATCGGATCCGGATTGACTCCAATTCGGATCCTCATTGGGACCCTTTTCCAACCAAACCTCCGCGTTTGAGCGGCCTCCAACCCGCCACCCACGCGATCCTCTCTGCACTCCGCGCCCTTCTCGCTCGCCCTTCCATCGTCGACGCCCCTTATTCCTCTTCCTCCGGTAGAATGCTGCATCAGGGAGCAGACCGCGAAGATCGGACAGAGGCTTTGAAGGTGTCAAACGGGAAGCCTATTCATCCGTCGGTTTCATCTATAAATTAGGGCTCCCCGCCGGAGACGAAGGTAAGAGCCAACAACCTCCTCCTCCTCCTCCCTTCGGCCTTCTCCTTCCTTCCTCTATCCACGTATGGATTAAACCTCTCCTCCTCCGTCTCCACCGCTTCATCACTACTCCAAAAGGAAGGCGAAGGTCGTAGCCGATACATATACAGATAGAGATAGGGAGGGCAGCAAGCGAGAAGATGGCCGGCGTTGCGTTCCTCGTGTTCGTCTCTCTGCTCGGCCTCTCGGCGGTCCGCGCCGAGGACCCGTACCTCTTCTTTACATGGAACGTCACCTACGGCACCATCTCACCTCTCGGCGTCCCTCAGCAGGCCATCCTCATCAATGGTCAGTTCCCCGGCCCCAACATCAACTCCACCACCAACAACAACATCGTCATCAACGTCTTCAACAACCTGGATGAGCCGTTCCTCTTCACCTGGTTTGTCCTCCGTATCCCTGCGTGCTTACCGACGTAGCTGGAAACCTAATCCGTGTGTGTGTGTGTGGAGAGCAGGAATGGCATCCAGCAGAGGAAGAACTCATGGCAAGATGGCATGCTGGGCACCAACTGCCCCATTCCGCCAGGCACCAACTACACCTATCACTTCCAGGTGAAGGACCAGATCGGAAGCTTCTTCTACTTCCCATCCGTCGGCATGCACCGGGCGGCCGGGGGCTTCGGCGGCCTCCGTGTCAACAGCCGCCTTCTCATCCCCGTCCCCTTTGATGACCCCGCCGACGATTACACGGTCCTCATCGGTGACTGGTACACCAAGAGCCACAAGGCCCTGGCCGGGATCCTCGATGCGGGCCGCAGCATCGGCAACCCTACCGGCATCCTCATGAATGGAAGCCCCGGCAAGAACGCCGCCGGAAAAGACGACGCTCCGCTCTTCGCCATGGAGGCCGGGAAGACCTATCGTTACCGCATCTGCAACGTCGGCCTGAAGGTGTCGCTCAACTTCCGGATTCAGAACCATCTGATGAAGCTGGTCGAGATGGACGGATCGCACACCGTGCAGAACGACTACGAATCCCTCGACGTCCACGTCGGGCAGTGCCTCTCCGTGCTCGTCACCGCCAACCAGGAGCCCAAGGACTACTACATGGTCGCCTCCACGCGCTTCACCAAGTACATGCTCACAGCCACCGGCATCGTCCGCTACGCCGGCTCCAACGTGCCTCCATCATCCGAACTGCCGGCGGGGCCCGTCGGCTGGGCCTGGTCGTTCAACCAATGGCGGTCCTTCCGATGGAACCTCACCGCCAGTGCCGCCCGACCCAACCCGCAGGGCTCCTACCACTACGGGAGCATCAACATCACCCGAACCATAAAGCTCGCCAGCTCCGTCGGCCTCGTCAACGGAAAGCGCCGCTTCGCCCTCAACGGCGTGTCGCATGTGGAAACCGAGACCCCGCTGAAGCTCGCCGAGTACTACGGCATCGCCGACAAAGTGTTCAAGTACGACTCCATCAGTGACGAACCACCGGCAGCCTCTGCCACCATCACGGCCGCGCCCAACGTCCTCAATGCCACCTTCAGGGACTACATCGAGATCATCCTCGAGAATCCCGAACGGAGCATTCAGTCGTTCCATTTGGACGGCTACTCCTTCTTCGCCGTCGGGTAATTCCAACGCCCACCGCACCGCTTCTACGCCATGGTCCATCGATGAACTTGACATATACCGTGTGTGGGATTGCAGGATGGGGCACGGAAAGTGGACGCCGGCGAGCCGGAAGACGTACAACCTCCTGGACGCGGTGAGCCGGCACACGATCCAGGTGTATCCGAGGTCATGGTCGGCGATCATGCTGACGTTCGACAACGCGGGGATGTGGAGCCTACGTTCGGAGCTGTGGGAGAGGCACTACCTGGGGCAGCAGCTCTACATCAGCGTGCTGTCGCCGGCGAGGTCCCTGAGGGACGAGTACAGCATTCCGGACAACACACTGCTCTGCGGTGATGTCACCACCCTCCCAAAGCCGCCACCCTACGTCTAACTTCAGGCTGGCGAGGAAGCGCCACCCGAGTTCAAGCATTCAATCGCACTTCACCACCGGGGGAGGAGGGAGGAACAGAGATAATATATATATATATATATATATATATATATATATATATATATATATATATATATATATATATATATATATATATATGTATGTGTGATCGGGATTGGTATTAGTAGTAACGCAAGAGAGAGAGAGAGAGAGAGAGAGAAGGAGATGCTATATGATGAACGAAAAGGCTCGAGAGACTAACAAGTGAGTTTGGTTCTTCCACGTACTGCAATATCAATATTCCCGCCATCTTATTGCATGCTACGATCATCGACGTTACTATTACTATCGTCTATCATAAAGCATATATCTTCTTGAAACTGATAAATGCCATATCTGATTGATTTATAAATTCAAAAGCTTAAGCTTAATGTTGATCATAAATACCGGATGAAATAAAGAGAGATGAATGTATGTTTTAATAGCATAATGATTTTATTTATTCGTTAGGGAGAAGTCTCCCTTTAGTTTTGGTCTTTTCTATTTTATTTATATTTACAACTCTGACCTAATTAGATTTTTAAATACTTATATAAGTTAAAGTTGTTCTAGAAATAAAGTCTTTTTATGTACGAAGAACTTAAAAAATATCACATGTGTGAGACTCCCCGTAACCCTTCTCGAGTAACTCATAATTACATGAGGCTTCAGGGTATGATGGTATGTCACTTGATTCTATATAGCAACTTTTATGTTTGTTATATTACTATATAGCAAGTCTATCTTTGTATTTTACATTATATATATATATATATATATATATATATATATATATAAAGTGTCTACTTAAATATTTATTTATGATATCCCAATATATTATTCGATCGTTAGCTTGTTCACTAACTCATTTTCTCTTTTATAAATCGTTAAAAGATATTACAAGATTATAAATCGTTAGGTTGACTCGTTACAAAGGCATAAAAATAACATAATACTTAGATAAAATTATTAAAGTTTACGATATAATTATTATTAACATAGACAATGAACAAAATTAAGAATGTCGATGTCATTTAGGTTCACCAATCGAGATATTGATATGGATAATTATTCATATTTAAAATCGATGGGAACCAAACTTAATTATAATATTATAATTATAATAAAAAAATAACATAATACTTAAATAAAATTAGCTAAGTTGATGAAAATTCTGCACAAAGTTAAGGTTATGGATGTTGATTGTGAAGATTTAGTATCATCAAAGCTCATTTAGGTTCGCCATTTGAGACATTGATATGGATAATTATTCATAATCAAAGTTGATGGTGTGATGGGTCGAACCGGGTGAACCGGTTCATCTGAGAATTTCTGTTAATGTCAATGTCTCTTAGATCATTTGTTTTGGTTCGAGAATTGCCACGGTGAACCGGGTTCATCTAAGAATTTCCACAAGAACGGTCGTCATTATTTATGGACCGGTGGAGGCAACCCCTCCCGTGTGTCTTCATGTCATATTTATGTACATCGAGTAAAAGAACGTGTCGGTTTCATCTCATCACATCACCCCCATCCCCGCCGCTTGTTTCTCCTTCGGCTCACCCCCTGCTTGGCTTCATCTCGGCTTCCATGGGCTTTCTCCCACCATCCCCACCGCCACCTCATGCTCCTCCTGCATGCCCTGCTGCACCACCAGCACCGATGCGTTGGCGTTGAAGTCGTTCGACGCCAACATGTCCCCGATTGGCCCCAGCTCCGGGCACTCGCACCACTCCGTCAGTCCTTCCGTCAGAGGAGACGAAGAACCCCCGCCTTTGCCCACCACGTACAGGTCATGGATGCCCTCCATGGACCGAATCACCGCCACCGTCTCCTCGGCGTTGTTGGAGACCTTCTCGATGTACACCACCGTCTCGTCGCTCACGTGCTTCAGCCGGAACTCCGTGATGTATGCCTCGTCGAATTGCTCCTCCTTCTCCTCGTCTTCCTCCAATGTGAGTACCTCGTCGGAGTTGTTCGAGCCGTAACGTCGCATGGAAGGGCGCGTCGCTAAGTCATCACCCGGAATGAACCGGAACACCGTAAGGCTGACGGCCGGGTGCTCCGCCATCCGGGAGGCGAGTGCCAAAGCCTCTCTGTCGTCGGGGCCGCCGAAGAATAGCACGGCGACGTGGTGGACAGAGTGCTGGGCGACGGCCATCCTGCTGGGTCCGCTGAGGCCGTGGTCGACGAGGATGGCCACGGAGCAAGGTGCGTTGGCCAAGACGCTCTGGTTGAGAGAGTGGATGGCGGGGTTGATGACCTGCATGTCGCCGTCGACCGTCGGCTGCTTGTGGAAGGGCAGGACGATGAGGGCGACGCAGTTGTCCTCGGCGACCCCGCACACGTCCACGTGCATGGTGGAGTACGAGGAGACGGCGGTGAGGGGCTGAATTGTTACGCCGGCGGCACGCTGCGCGTAGGATTCCAAGGCCTGGATCATGTGTCGGGACCGACCCAGGGGGACCTTGTGGAGGTGCTGGGGATCGGAGGAGGAGGCCGAGCCGGTGGTGTCGTGGACGACCAGCATGGCGGAGGCACGGCCGGTGAGCTCCACGAGGTGCAGGGCGAAGACGAAGACGGGGGAGCGCTTCGTGGGGCAGCAGGCCTCAAGGAGGCCGAGCATGGAGGGGATGTTGCGGGTGTTGTGGACGCACACCTGCATCCGGAGCTCCGAGTTAGGGTCCGGCCACATGATCGTCCGGCGCTGGTACGAGGCTTGGCCGCGGTTGCTCGTCGTCGCTAGCTTCAGTAAGGGCCCTACTGCTATCGTTATCACCACCGACATGACCACCAAGATGGAATATGCCTGCTCACTCAGAACCTGAGAAAGCAGCTACAGCGTCAATCTCGAGGGTTACAATGATGTCCAGAACAAAACAGCAAGAGAAGCTCAGAATACCTCCATATCCCTCCCGATTTTGAGGATGACCATCTCGATGACCCCCTTGGTGCTCATCAACAGGCCCATGGCGAACCGATCGTTCAGCGGCATGTCGTACAAATATCCCACCGACAGGCAAGCTGCCACTTTGGCTGCAGCAGACAGCAGCGCCACCATCGCCAGCGCCACCGCCGCCCAGACGTTGCTCACCGAGTAGAGGTTCGACCGCAGGCCGCAGATGGCGAAGAACAGCGGCAGCAACAGGCCCTCCACGAAGTCATCGACCCGCTCGATGAGCGCCACCCCCAGAGGCCCGTACGGTATCATCAGCCCGTACACGAACGCCCCCGAGACGGCGTTTATGCCGATGGCGTCCGCCATCAGCGCCCACACCATCACCCCAACCAGTATCACGGACGCCGACAGCTCCCCGACCACCTCCCCCTTCGGCTTCCTCCGCGACACCCACAGCACCGCCGGCTTCACCACCTTCACGCTCCATAAAATGAACACCATACCGGAGGCCATCGTCCACATTATCGCAGGCAGATTGCCGCTGGACAAGGAGAAGGCCATCGAGAGGAGGATCCACGCCCAGCTATCGATGAACATGGCGGTCGACAGCGTGGTAAGGCCGAGGTTGGTGTTGATAAGCTTGTGCTCGGTGAGGGTTCGCGCCAGCACGGAGAAGGAGGTGATGGAGAAGGTGACGCCGAGGAAGGTGAGGAAGGAGGACTTGTTGGTCTCTATCGCGAGGTAGGTGTGGACGAGTTTGCCGGAGATGGCACCCACTGCGAAGGGGAACACCACGCACGCCGCGGCAAAGATGGCGTACTTTCCTGTCCGCTGCAGCGACGTCGGGTCGATCTCCAGGCCGATGATGAAGACGAAGTAGATGATGCCGACATGGGCTATGACCTCAAGGATCGGCAAGCTCCGGTAGGGGAAGAGCGTCCGAAGGAAACCGGGGATCCGACCCAACACCGTGGGACCCAGGACGAAACCACCCTATCATATTCACAAACCTTGTGGGCTTACGTCTAGAGAGAGAGAGAGAGAGAGAGAGAGAGAGAGAGAGCGCTTACCAAAATCTCAGAGACGTATCGCGGCTGACCGAAGGGGTGGAGGAGGATGGCGACGACACGGCTCGTCATGACGATGATGAGGAGCTGGAGGATGAAGAGGGGAATCGTGTAATCCAAGGGGTTTTCGCCTTTCCATATGCCGAAGTTAGTGGTCGAGCTGGTAGGGTAACACAGAACGGGCATGGTGGAGGCGTTCCTCCAGTGATAGTCCATGGTCTTCTCGTGCCACGCTTGCGGCATGACCACCGACTGCTAGAGGGACCTCCCGGCCGAAGATTGGATCGTCGAAGATGTAGATGCATTTAAGTTGGATCAGGGATGTTGGAGGAGAAGAACCAACGAAGCAGGAAGAGGAAACAGCGCAGGAAATGGATCCTGGGGAGGGGATGACACAGGGACGAGTGCTATTTTAGGGTTTGTCCCGGTCAAAGGTAGGAGGGAGGGACGGCATGCAAACAGGCTTGGGAGGGAGGGACGGCATGCAAACAGGCTTGGGAACAGACAGTGAGAGACAGGTCCCTCCGCCTGCATGGCGTTTGCGTCGTCTGGTCGTTGAGATGGAGAGGAGCCAAACTGCTGGCTGTGCTCACGATGCCAATACGGTTTGCGCCACATCCTTCCATCTTCCTGGAATCTCTTTACGTGTTAAGCTGACATGGCCGGTTTCTCCTTACGTGGCACATGACTCATCTGATTAGCCCCACGCTGCTTTGTATATATTCGACCACCACGTTAATATTTTGAAAATAATTCATAATAATATAAAACATAACATTTATTTATAATTATAAAATAAAACGAACTGAATCCGCAGGACCAAATTCTAGAACCTTCCGCACCGCCACGAACCGCTTTCTTCCGATGCCCCTCTCTCTCTGTCTCTCTCCCGATCTCCTTCTCTTACCTCTTCCCTCAGGCTTCGAAGTGCCCACCGCGGATGTATTTCTTCTTGATCGGTCGAAGTTGGTTAGAGTTGTCTTCAAGAATTTTGTCTGTTAGAGATGGAGTGGAATACGATACTTTTAGCTGTTCTTCTTCTCTGCTAATGCTTGTCCCCGTTTTATTTCTTTCTTTTCTTTCTGTGATTACGTGTTCTTGGTCGCTTTGATGTGTTCTTCGTAGAGCGTTTTTGCGAAGAATGGGTTCGCCGGAGCTTTCTTGGGGAACTGGCGGACCATCGGAGGCTCCCCGAGGGGAGGACGGTGGTCGTCGTGGCTTCGGACGGACGCGTACGTTTTCTTGATTGCTTATATGTGTTCTTTGTAGAGCATTTCGGGAAGACTGAGTATCTCGGAGTTTTCTTGGAAACTGGCGGGCCAACCGACGCTCGTCGTGGTTTTAGATAGATGGGTCATGTGTTCTTCGTGGAGAGAAGAATGAGTTTCTCGGAGTTTTCATGGAAAATGGTGGGCCTCCGGCCGTGGTTTTTGATAGATCCGTGTGCTTTCTTGATTGATTTGATGTGTGTGTTCTCTGTAGATTTGTGGAAGAATGAGTACTTCTGGGTTTTCTTGGAATCTGGCGGATCACCCAAAGCTTCCCAAACGGTAGACCGCAACCGTCGCGGTTTTAGATGGATGGATAGGTGTTCTTGGTTGCTTTAGATGGGTTCTTCCGAGACCGTGTTGGGAAGAATGAGTGGCTTGGAGTTTTCTTGAAAACTGGAGGACACTGAGTCTTCCGGACGAGGGGATCGGCGGTGGCGGTTATAGACGGGAAGCATTTCGGGAAGATGAATATGACGTTTCCGTGGGAACTGGCGGGCGGACCACCCGACGCCTTTCGAGG